AGCCAGTTGTTAGTCATGCATGAATGGAACTAATTAAAACGTGATACTTTCAGCTTTCGAAGATTTATATATTCTTTATCTCTTCTAAATGATTTTTATCTTCTAAAATATTCTTTATAACCCCACTCTTCCCACTGATTCTGCGTGAAGTGCTGCTTCACAGTATTGTTTCGTAAAAATAAGGCGTGACCTCTTTGGATAGTGTAAAAAATTGACTCAATTACTTTGAAAATTATTTATTCATGGAGAGAAAAAGCCTACAGTTACATACTGGGAAATCTTGAGAATTCTATAGGCCCTGAGCCCAAACTCACAAGTAGACCCTGGACCCCTACGTAATAGTAGGCCCTGGGCCTCTACTCAAGTGTAGGCCCAACCTATGACCCATAAATGTAGACAGTACATAGCATACTTTGTCAGATACTCGTACAAACCCAAAACAAATAAATGTGCATGACTTACAATTGCACAAAACAGTTCGACCGACTGTCGCTATTTGACCGAATGAATAATGATGTCATATGGTGGTAGGCCTAAGCTTATACATGAACGACGGTTATCACATGTAACTCGTTGACATATCGCTTGAAATTCCCAGTTTTTTGGATAACTCAACGGGAAATAACATTAGGCCCTTTAAAATGATTCATATCATGATCTTATAACGGCTGAGTAAAGAACGAGACGAGGTTCCCATTGTGGCCGAAGCCCTGGTCCCGGGCCCAGTTGGCCCATGCCTTGACACGCTCCTGGTTATATATGACATCAAAGTAAAAAAGAAACACTAAGAAATCATTTTTTAAGAAATTTTTCTAACATAAGACAGAATGGTTATATATCATTACTTGGTTTATTTAACCTACATGTTTGTATCAATATGCAACATACATCCTCCCCCCCCCATAGATATATATGTGTGTTCATAGTCGAAACCTATTAAAGTGAATTGTGTCTGCAGTCCAAATAAAAATAACTCTTTTACCGAATGTTCTCTGTATCCACTTTTGTTAAAGGATTAAAATTTCTTAATATTTATCGGGGTTTTTGTTGAAAACAATTAATATGATAACGTGCAGTTTACTAAAATAAATCAATTACTTTTAAGCTAACCTTATATATATATATATATATAGTAATATAAAAAAAGTGAAGAAGTACTAAAACCTACAGAGCTAAAGCAGGAAGAAATTGGAATTCACCAGACACAACAAATGTAGATACAAAAAAGTCTTTGGACTAAACTGGAGACCTATTATGATCTCTAAAGCTGTCGCTGAATTAGGCCAGCCAATTAGGGTTATATATATATATAGATATAGATATAGATAGATAGATATATAGAGAGATATATATATAGATATAGATATAGATAGATAAATGGATGTTTGTGTGTGTGTGTGTGTGTGTGTGTGTATATGACGTAGCTTCACTCCAACACCGTTCAAATGATCCCTATGAAACTTTGCATGTATAATATTTTTTTTTTTTTTTTTTTTGTGGAGAAGGGCTTTGTGCTATCCTCTTTGTTGCAGCTCCCCACCAGGTGGTGCTACAGCATATCAACTTTTGCACCGTTCAATCAATCCCCAACTTGCCAACATGGTCGCTAAAAATAAGGCCAACTGGACTATGTTTCCATTGAATCGTCATTATAATGTAAGGGACGGCGTTGCTTGCGAATATTACAATTTTAACACAAAATAAATACAACGGAAAGTAATATACATCCAGATATGAATTTTTTACACTATTTTAAGCGTTCATTACACCAAATTTGTAACAATGTGTTACTTTTACTGAGCAGAGATCAGCTTAGAAAGGCGTTTCCAAAAATCAACCCACAAGAGAGCTACGGGGCGTTAGAAACAAAAAAAATCATTTTTATCAGCTATTAGATCCACAGACTTAAAATTTAACAAATATGGTTTTTCTTTTGTTGTTGTTCAGCTGAGATATGTTATTCTTCAATCTATATTGTTTAATTTTTCAATTCACCCGTGCGAAGAATGAGTTTACCAGCTAGTCTACATATAAAGGAGCAAAGCAACTCCCTCACTGATCCCGAGATTTCCGGAACCTACTGACTTGAAATTTGGAAAACATGTTCTTTTTGTTGAGCAAAAATCCGTTAAGAATGGTTCTTAGAGGGAGGGAGTTTCGGGAGAGTAAAATATAACTATATTTCGACTTTAAAAATTCAATTCTCCTTTTTAAATTAAGAGGTGAGTGAATGAATATTAACGTCGCACACCATTCAGCTACTCAAGAGCTTTTGGCGACGGACCTCGTAATTTTGAACCATGGTCAGGTGACGAGGTCAGGTGACACCTGAGCTGACTCCCCCTCTCCTAACTTCTACACGTCGCCAACGGGAGGGCGTTTGAGCCTCGACAGATTTAACGTGCATCAACCCATTAACATGGCGAACTTCGAATGTTTGAATTTAAAAGCACTGATAGGCGCCATATAGGTCCCACCGTTTCATGAAAAATCAAACTGTTGCGTCGCCTCATTAGACGAAAAGTTTACGACAATAGTTGTCATTTTTGAAACTCAGGGGTTAGCAGAATGGTCAAATGGGTCATTATATTCTTTAAAGGGGACCGCGCGTACTCTTCTCTCACGCCCGGGGGGAAAATAAATGTAGCGCTGATTCTGGAAACGGCTTTGATGTTACCACACCTCATCCTTCTCCAACACCTAGATGGTTTTTTCATCACTTCGATTTATAGAAATGACACTCCAGTTGGACGGCCACCTAATCCTTCGTTCCTTCGCACATGTTGACCCCGAAATACTTGAATGGAAGGAGTGTCGGCCTGTTATGAGGAAGAATTCCCCATTAGGGTATACAGTGTCAAAGTGACAAGTCGATTTATAGACCCTCCATATGGTTTACGAAGTATGGAGAGGTAGATGATATCAGTCGCGATGGCCTTTTGTCTCAAAGAGTCAATAGAGTTGGGACCAAGACAAAAGATGCCGGGTGCAGACCCACCACTTTCGCCAATCAGAGATTATTGAGGACGTGAAAGAGGCCCACTGTGTTTAAAAAGTGGGTTCGGGAGATGACAGTGAGGATCAAGAGAGGAAGGAACTGAGAGGACCTCTTCAAGACGGAGTGTCAGAGTCTGTGGGTCAGACGTACCAGTGATTGATCTGGGGAGATACACGCGAAAGAGGTTGCGGGTACAGCCACACCCGGCAGATGATCCTCAACGAACGTTCTTTCGAACTTGGAATTTTTCTCTAGCGAAAGGCTGACAAAGTTATAAATTTTAGTATTGTGTTAATTTTTTAAAATTAATTCGTAAATTAATTGCCTTTTGGCCAAAGTTGTGGGACCCCCTTGAGTAAATTTGAGGGGGGTTCATGATGTTACAATACTTTTCCTGATACATTCAAGTTTTTTTTATTAATTTCCCATAAGAGTCTTGATTATTGTTCTCAGGTGAGGGAAACTTTTATCTATTAAGTCATTTTTAACCCCGTTCATTTTTAGGTACACGGTAGCGCCTAGTTGTCATGGTCAAGGACTCTTGGCTAACTTGTCATGAATTCGAGTCCCAGTGCCACTTAAGAGAGTTTTTGTAGAGGGTCTGATACGTATTAAATATATCGAGGCTCAAAGTATAAATATTGGCGATGTGTGGAAGTTTGGAGAGGGAGTACCAGCTCAGGTGTTGTGTGTCTTCGTCACTTAATCGAGTTTCAAAATTACGACACCCATCGCAAGTAGCCCTCGTGTCGCTTCACAGTATGACGTAAATAATAATCAAGAGCGATAATGACCCATAGATAGAAAAATAATTAAATTTCTAATATTATTCTTATTTCAAAATTTCCAAAATTTTAAAAAAGGAAAATTTTATTTTTATATTGGAAGTGTAAGCATTAATTGATATAAAAAAATTCTTAGAAATTTTATCGTATTAAAGTACAATAGAACCTGCTTCATATTAAAACTAATTTTTATAGACGTCTTTTCAAAAATAATTTTTTTTAAAAAATATAATTGTGTGACGGATCTATTCGCGTACCTTCCTCTAACCCTCTTGGGAAATCTTTTGTGCTATCAATGGGCTCAATTCATGTGAATTCATAGTCACATGATAGTGAAAGCCATGTGATTCTACCCAATCAATTCAAAAACTCATGCGACATCAAAGTCTCACGATAAAAACTATCTAGTGTTTCCAGCTAATCAGTTCACGCGCTCCAGTGTTGCCAAGTTTTGCTCTTTGCAGAAACTTTCTCTTAAAAAGTAAATACGCATACAAAATGCATTCTATTTAAAAGTATAAACATAAAATATGATTTTTCTTTTAATTTAAAAAAAAAAATCTTTTTGAAGAATTTTTTTTTTCATAACATTTAAACATCTTTGCCCAAATATGAAATTTTATCTGAGTTTTACAAATAGAACAACAAGTACAATTAGTTTAATATTTGTTTTGGATTCTATGGAAAACACGTGTTTGTTTTTATCATGTGGCTTCATGAATTGAGCCCAATCGCGTTTATTCACAAACAATCCTTTTGAAGAAGAAACCGTGATATGTAAATTAAGCAGTCTACATAGAGTCTAGGTTTTCTAGCTAGCGAGAGGAGAAAGAGAGTGTATGTAATAAGATAGAATTCATTGCTACTGATCAGGTGTTATAACTTTCCATAGATTATTTCAAATATTGAATAGATGAAAGATTTAAAGTGACGATCGATCACTATAGTTGAACTAATATTAGATTAAGTAGGATAATAGATTTGATCCTATAAAGAGAGGATCGATTTTGATAGTCTTCTAATAATTCGTGTATCTTGCTATTTATCAACATTTTGTTCATATTGAGAATATTTCTTCACGCTGAAATATTTATTGAATCAGAGCTGCTATTTTTGGGAGATCAATAAATAAATTGTTGTTGATAATGGCTAGTGTTTCTTCCCTTCCTCCCACATATCTAGGCGGGCAAGAAAGAGGGTCTAATCCCTTACAATGGCGCCCTACGTGGGGCACGAACCCAAGACCCCGAGATTAAGAGTCTCATGCTCTACCGATTGAGCTGGCCGGGCAAGAGAGAGGGCCTGATCCCTCACCATTGAATAGTTTTTTCTAGCAGTGGCGTAAAGTATACCCCCCAACCTCGCATCGCAGGGGTGCCCAGAGGTTAAGGTTTTGCAATTCTTTGTAAGATCTGGCTTGGGCTCAATAATCTGACTTTCCAAGGGGGTTGTAATGTTCTCCGTTATGCCACTGATAGTTAGGTAAGTTAGAACACATAACTTTTCATTTGAATGTTTCAATAGAGATTTAAAACGGGTATTACTTTAAAGAACACTGATTCACCTGTATCAAAATTTCGTAAAAAATATTGGAATATATAATTAAATCACTGACATGTATTATATCTGGAATGCACAGTTGCATGTTATCTTGTTCCATTAAATTCATGTATTGTGTTAACTAAAATCTGAATTGATATTACTAATACAATCGTATTTTTTTCCCTTTGACATTATGCATCTGTTTAAAATGGTACTAAAATTAAAATTTTGCATTTAAATACAATTGCACAATGGGCATCTACATATATATTACTCGACGGAAATAATTCTTCGATTCATTAGATAAGTATCGTAAATGAGTATAAAACATATTTCGCGTATTATAACATTGCTCAAAGACATTTATTTATCGTTTTCACTTTAAAAAAATATATATATATAAACATTATAATACTATTTTCATATTTATTTAAAAGGCATTTTGAAAACATTTGCATAATAAGTTGGTATAGAAGGGGGAGGGTTCAATTCACGATCGCATGACAATTATTTGACGTAGAAAACGCAGTTAGTCTTACTTACAGTTTCACGATTTATGTTTCCATTTCGCCCAGACAGATGACACTCCTCATGTGAGATGGGTAATGCGCATGTTCTCAAATTAGAACACTTTCTTAATGAAGATAGCGCGTCGACTTTTTGTCGTCATCACTTTCATATGATTGTGACGTGGAAAGAATCGTGTGGGGGGGGCCCATTACGGGGAGCGGATTGAAGAGAATTTAGACCAAGAGGAAATGATATATTATTCTACACATGTAGTTTTTGATATCAAATTATTTGATCTCAAAAAGTGGAGAAAAAAGAATATATATGTCAGCGTTGAAGCTCTAAAGCCGATGACGTGCAGTTAACAGAATTGCTCCGATAAAGTGCGGGATCAAGTTTTCCGCATTTTAACCAGGTAATCTTCGCATTTGCAATTCCCGTATAAAAATTTATAAGTTTTTCTCATTTGCTTCCTGTTAGAGATTTTGATTGAAAAAACTGACTCCTCCCAGAGTAGTATATCCTAAATCAGGGGTGGCTAACCTTCCGCTCACGGCCGCAGTTGGCCTGCCTTGAATAATTTTGCGGCTCATGAAACTCGTTACAACTTTGCAAAATTTGACTATTTTGTGCAATATTCTTGTTTTTAGAGTGTTTCTTAACAAATAAATCCCATGACTGCTTCTATTACATCACGTTGCTTCTGTTACTGCAAATCTATTTTTTTCGAAATTGAAATTTATCAAACATAAATCGTGCTCAAATTTAACGGACGAAAACCTGCAACATCAATTACGATGCGCAAATACAGGCATTGAGATCGACTTGCAAAAAATAATGAAAGCGTTGAGAAACAAATATCTCACTCTAATTAAATAAATCAAACATTATTTGATCTTTTCATTATTATTATTATATTATCTATGTTTGTATACATGAAAAATAAGGAAAACAATAATAATATATCAATCTGTTTTAAATTTTCACTCCAATAAATGTTTGCAATGGGTCCAAAAATCTAATATAAAAAAAAATATATTTCTATGTGCGGCCCGCAAGATAACGTTTTTCCGAAGTGACCCGCGAGCTCATTTGGGTTGGCTACTCCTGTCCTAAACATTTAGAAAGAGAGTCGTGTGAAAGCGCAGCAAATGTATTCGATTAAAAATTCCTTGGATTAATTTATGATAAATCTAATTACGAGGACTAGTATCTTCTGGAAACAAATTAAATGGGTACTTACCTACTCTTTCGCAACAATCGTCAACTCTATTAATAACTCACCAAGTTCGCAACACCGATTTCCTATGCATCGTACGAGCTGAATTGGCAACCATGTGCTTTGTTTCATATAATGTCGATATAATGCGATAACACGTAATAATGCGATAATATGTAATGCGATAATTCGTATAATGCGATAATACATAAATACCATTAAATGTTAAAAGTTCCAATATTACAAAGTATAGTTGCGCATACCAATATAGCAATTGCATCCATGATAAAAGAAATTAAAAGTTCCCGAAATTGCATGTTGACTATACGCCAGGGTTGTCCAACACGCGGCCCACCGACTCTTTTTAAAATTTTAAATATCAGATTTTTAAAGTTTTTTCATTTTGAAATTTATTTGAGGGGAAATTTATATATATATATATAATATATGTATGTATATGCAATGTATTTGCCTGTTACCTGTTCTTGTTTTAAAATAAAATCTCTTTTGATAATAGAAATGGCCTTTAGATTAAAATAGATTTATATTTTATCAAACATTTGCATTTGATTTTAATGTAGTAAAAAACTTTTTAATAAATTTCGAGTTGCATTATGCATATCTTTTACTATGGATGGTACATGATTCTCTGTGTGTGCGACTTTCGTTTCTCCTCCTTTTCTGTTTGGAGTGCCCAAAAAGTAAGAGGCAGTCAGAGATGTTTTTTAAAGTTTAAAAAAATATTCAGGACGGTAAAGATGAAGGACAATGTAAAAACTTAATCGTTTGCGAGGGATAGCACTATCAAATTTCACCAATGAGTAACGAAAGATCAATTCAATTGGAACACCATAATTTTTAAGAAAAGGGCAATTGTAATATTTTTAACATTATTTGATCATTGCATTATTATATTATATAAACATTATTATGTTATCTATGTCTGTATACATGAAAAATAATGAAAATAACAAGAATAATAATTCATTCTGCTTTAAATTTCACTCCAATAAATGTTTTTTTGTTTCCAAATCTGAAATAAGGTACATATTTTTATGTGCGGCCCGGGAGATTATAATGTTTTTCCGAAGTGGCCCGCAAGGTCATTTGGGTGGGACACCCCTGCCCTACGCACTTGATCTCCGAATTTTAATAGGCGAAGAACAAAATAACTAATTTTTCATTACTATTGGAGTCCCTGCTGTAGAAATATCTTAACGTTAAACAGCAATAAAACAATCCCTTGGTACCGGGCAGGGTTTCAAAAAATGTGACTGAAAATCTACATGTACGATAAATAAATGTGCTTGTTGCAAAAACAATGCAATTCAAAGTGTCACCTATCTTTAGATAGCATTAATAAGTAAACATAATTTTATCTCCTCTGTATCGCACAAATTCCTTAATTGTAATATTATGTTAAACCGTTTATTTCTTTGTATGATATATTTTCTAATGATTGATGATTGATTCTGTCAACTAATTTGTTATTTGCTTGATTGTATTAAGATATCCGACTGGTTTAAAATCATCATTTTCATCAAAAAGATCGAAATTTATTTTATAGCTCATTTTTGTAGCCTGTTTAATAAGCTTTCTAAAAATGCCATACTTTTAATTCAGAGTCAATTAGAAAAAAAGTTATAGCTGTTTTTATTTGAGGTAGTAAGCCCAAATCGAAACCGAAAGTGTGAGTTTTCGGTTGATTTTCACCGGCAAAATGAGATTTTTATTCATTTGAAATATTTTAAACGAGTTCTTTTTATGTTTAGTAAACTTTATTTCACTTTATAAATTTTTTAATAGATATATTTTGCTTGAAAATAGGCAACGGTTAACTGATTGCAATGTTGGTTTTCACTTAAATGAAGTTGCTATCTTTTTATCATTGGTGTTCAAAATTATATCTCCTTATAACTTTTTTATTAGTACTTTAATACAGAGTTATAGTTATTTTTAATTAAATTAAAGTTGACATGCAAAAAACAGGATTAATGAGGCCAAAAAAGAAGAGATTTCCAGAGAGCAGAATTTGTTGGAGAAACGTTGAAAGAAAAATCAACGGATCTTCAGAATTCGGCTATTAATTCTATTAAAAAGACTTATAAGGAACTTTGCGATCAAAATCTTCTAAGAAAATGTCTTCACTGGAAAGCTCAGAACTGCAATGAAAGTCTTAACAATGTCGTGTGGAGTATAATTCCAAAAGACAACTTTGTTGAGCTACAAACACTCCGTTTAAGGAATTATATCGCAATAATACTTTTTAATTCTGGATTTGCTGGTCTATAACCTCTACTTCAAAATTTAGGAATAATATTATGTTCTAAAATTAAAGGATATTTTTGGTTCCTTGACAAAACGAGAATTGTTGGTTCTACGAGGCATTCAAAACGAGATAAGAAACTGTCTCGTAAAAAAAGAAAGTCCCTTCAAAAATATACAAGTTTGAAGTATGAGGTTCAGGAAGGCACAGCATACAAATATGGAGAGTTTTAATACCTTCCAAAATCTTTAAAAAAATTATTGCAAATATAAACTTTATTTTGCATTTTCTGAAGAATGTTATTTTTGAACATAAAATGGTTAATGGTAAGAGTAATATTTCTTAAAGTAAACGAAGTATTCTTATGAAATTTTTTGAGTTTGTTCTTTGTGTTATAATGAATACTTTCTGCTAAAAGTTAAGGATAATTTTAAAATTAAATTATTTTTTAATGTAATTTTATATGAAAAAAAAACTTTTTTTCAGAAATATTCTGTGTTTTTTTATGTCGAACACCTGTATTTCATAATTTTATTGTAAAACTTTAGTTTTTTTTAATAAACAGCATAATTAATCATTGAAGAGTTGTATCCTGCAAAAATTTTATTTATTTTTGTGATATATATTTTTCTAGAGTTGTTAGCAAAAGAGCAATTTTTTACAATATTTTGGAACAAATTTCTCAATATTTTGAAAAATAAGTTTTCAAAAAATTCTTCTTGCTGTATTTTTATAGTTTTGCAACATACTTAA